CCGCCATCAAGCAACCAAGCAATGCAGGAACTTCCATTCAAAAAACAAAAAAAAATCCCGACTTCAATCGTGAAAGCATCAACAAGATGCTTTGGTCACTTTAAATCATTATCTACAAATCCAAACATCAACTTAGTTGTCCATTTTGATTCTGTGCTAAAAATGTCTAGTTTTATGTATCATTAAAAAGAGAACAGACAAGAAAATGATAATCTGCAAAATTAAAATGCTTTGATAAAGTTAATGATTGAAATTTATTTCTTTTAAAAATTTTCCAGACCAAATGCTGAAAACAGTTATAAGTTAATAACTAATAAAAAGAATGCACTTCAAGTGAGTTCTAAATATAATTTGGACTATTGACCATCTTTGTTGTTACCACAATGTTTCTGTCATTGTGCCCTCCACCTATCCTCAGGTGTAGATTGATCTGGGTAACCTATAAGGAATTCTGAATTGAGCCCATTCTTTAATCTATAGCAGTAGACTTCTTATTCTACTGCTTATGTCTAGGAATAGTTTTTATTTAGTACTGATCAGTTATTGCTTGAGAACAGTCTAGACCCATAAATGAAATAAAGGGTTCAGTTCAGAATTCCTTCTAAGTTACCTAGATAGATCTACACTTGAGGAAGGGTGGAGAGCACAATGACTGAAACATTGTGACAACAAAGATGAGGCAAATAGTTCAAATATAAATAGTGTAAATAATGATAATTCCTCATCCCAGAAATTCAGACAGAAATGATATGCAACTTTGTATGAATATTTTATCTAAAAGTTAAGAAAGTCTTTTCCAAAGGAAAATTGATAATTATTAAACAAAATATTTTGATTCATAAAAGCAAAAGTTTGAAATTCTGAAAATTTAAAGAAAAAAGAAAAAAAAAAATACAACTTTAGCATAGCTGAAAAAGGTGAAGATGTTAGAACATAATGAAATTATGGCAGACATAGCAAAGCATGAAATCGTTTCAATCTTCTAATTAAAGCACTAAAATCTGACAGTTTCGTCAAAAGGGAATCAATTGATTCTGACACGATGATCATGTGATGCCAAACAAGTAAATTGTCAGTTTGAAAGATTTTGTTTTTAAAACTTTATTTCTACTTCCAAGGAGTTGAGCGGTTATACACAAAGGTGACCTGAATATGTTAAGCAAAACTTACAATTCCAAATTATTCTATAAACCCAGATGTCCTTTTTTTGCCTCCTCTAAAGAAGCATGCAGAAGAAAAAAGGCTGAATTCATGTTCACAAGATGATCAAAAATAGATAAATTAGTCTTCCAAACAGAATCTTCTATTTGTTATATTGAGAACAAAAGAAAATGTCTTTTTGCCTCCCTCCACTCTTCATTCCTTATTTTTAGTGACAAACTATTATTGTTTTTGCATCAACATTACCACAAGCATCGATTCTGAAATGTGTGCATTGAGCTGAACATGCAGGAGGGTTAAAAAGCATCACAAATTAAGTTTTTGCATTTTTTTTTTTTTTTTTGTTTTTAAACCAAAAACCCAAGAGAATGCTAGCTTTTGAAAATTTGGCCAAGTCAAAACTGAATATTCAAGTGGAACCTGATGCAATATTCAAATAAATTGACTGTTTTTTTGCACTGTGCATCTAGAACTGCCCAAGAGAATGATAAAAAAAAAAAGAATCCTATCGATGTTAGGTTGCAAATAAAGCAGCAACAGCAGCAGCTTCCTCATTCAAGAACAAAATAATAGAAAAGGAATGAAGCCTTATTAAAAAAAAGTAAATAGGCAGACTCATACAAGAATTTATGGCAGAGTTAAACAAAGGTCCCAGCTAAAAGAAAAAAGGGAAAGAGAGGGAGGTTGCAATCCCTGCTAAACAGTAAGGAGGAGAAAGAGAGAAGGAGGGGGAGAGAAAGAGAGAGAGAGGGTGGTTCTTCTCTTGACACTGCTATGACTATACTCCTTTAATAATTTTTCTTTTATAAAGCTATTTTTAGAATTAAAATAAAACCCAAACACACCAAACTATTTATTTTATTTTGAGATTTGACAACAAAAATGTTAAACTTTTTATTAGATTGTTTATTTACAAGAATAATTTTATATTTATAAGATTTTGAAACTACCAGCATCTCTCGTTTCATGCACATGTGTAGATGTGGCAACACCAACAAAGCCCAGTCCAATGAAATCCTAATGAATGAAATGCATCACAAAAACTTTGTCATACTATTCTTCTAATTACAAGATTATAAAAAGGTGTAAATTACCTACAATGCAATATTTATTATTTACCATATTACAAACAAATAATTATGAAAACCTACTATAAATAGTAGGTAACATTTTTGCTGCCAATTCTCAAGAAAAATATTGCATAAATCTAGCTTCATGTGTTTGGGTTTCATCAAAATTCTAAAGATAGCTTTTTAAAATAATTAGCATTGCCTAGGGAGTATACAGTGATACTGGTGACAAGATAAAACATTGAACTCAAAATATTTTCTGTTGAAAAACAAAATGATTTTAATATTTACAAATTATTCTATTGCGAAAACAGAAAAATTTTCTTTGTCACAAACTTGATCAGAAAGAAGTTTGTAGTTTGGTGAAGCCTTATATTTTGTATGAGCAGAATTTAAAGAATTATGATTGTTTCATCAGCTTACAGATAATTACATGTAAATCTGTCTTGTCTGCTGAAGGCTTTTTACACAAACATTGTCAAGAACAGTTTCAGTTAGAAGATAAAAATACCAAAAACAAGAAAAAAAAAATGTCTTAACTGCTATATTATGTGTATAAAAGTTTGCAGAAGACTTAAGTATTTTGAAGGGAATTATTTCCTGGTCATATTTTTGGAAAGTAAAAACTCATTTTATTTTAAGAATAATTAAATATAGCAATTATTATGAGGTGTTCATATAAATATTGTTAACTGAAACATTTTATCTTATTCACTACTTGAGATTGGGGGGGGGGGTTGAAATGGTTTTCATAATTGAAATTCAATTTCCCACCACTTCAGAAGTAAGAAAAAATATGACCTCTGTCCCATAATAGCTGTTATATTTGCATATACATTTCTTGCACTAAATCCAACAGAGGTAGTATGGATTATCAACAGAAATAATAAAAACTTTTTTTTTCTTCTTTCTTTTTAAAATCACATACACAAGGGAACCTGAAAAGTTCTCAAACCAACCCACTTCAAAAAATACATCAGAATTTATTTTGCAATTTCTTCTTGGATGGACAAAGAACTTTTCTATACACCCTCGTAGGATTACAAAGACAAAAAAAAAATGTTTAATTTTTCTGACAGTAATTCAAATTAAATTAGAGGAGGAAAAAGGGTGGGGTTTTACAAGAGCCATTGTGACAAGAAAATTATATATATATATATATATATATATTTTTTTTTTTTGTTACAATGGCTCTTGTAATATATATATATATATATATATATATTATAGCTTAAACATTTCAGCTCATAAATACCTAAAAAAATTTTTTAGATTTCATAAAAGTTAATAGGTTGTCTAGTTTGCTATGTAAATTGATCCCCACTTCCTTACAGAAGCCAAAACAAATATGTTCATATGTGATTTCTGAAAATCATAGGATAAAAAAAAAACAAATAGGAAATGTTTATCAATCTAACAGGTTTCACTTTTATTAAAGCTTCAGTAGAGAATGAGACATTTCTTAAAGTGTGAAACAAAAACAAAATAATGCAATTAGTTTATAATCTGGATTGTTTAATTGATAGTAATATATGGGGAAAAAAAAATGAATATTACAATTTATTTTTTTCACTCTTTGTGGGTTACTTAAAGCTGGTAATTTAATTTTTTTTTTTTTCTGAGGAGTGAAAATTGCATTTGAGAATAACAAATGACTTTTCCGGATACAAACCATTATTTAACCCACAGGATAGATATATACCTTTTCCTATTTGCATGTAAGTGAATATAATGAACCTGATTTCCCATTCTGAGCCACTATCCATTACACCAGCCACACATCCATTACATTTTAAGAAATCCTGTCATCTCAGCATATTTGTTTTGCCTTCCTTGGGAGGGACAATTTAAAATTAGTTTACATAGCAACCTAGCCTCACCTTCTATTCACTTTCATAAAAAATGAATAAAATAAAAAATTTTATATTATTTTCAGCATATAAATACACTGACCAAAATGAAATCAGAGGAAAGTAAATTGTGACTAAAACATTTTTAGGAGCTGATGCAAAGCAAATAACCATAACATAAAATCATCACTCCTGATTAATTCATAGCTATTAGGGGAAGATCATACTGCTTCCTTAGCTTTTGTATGTACTTTTTTTTTTTTTTTTTTTTAAACTAAATTATTGCTTTGAGGTAGCATTTTGATTGAATTTATTATACAATATGAAAAAAAAAATAAATAAATAAAAAAAAAAAAAAGCTTTGACAATAAAAAAAAATCTTTATATATCACAGTGTCTTCACAATTTTTTTCTCTCTTCCATATAAGGAAGAGAGAAAAAAATTGTGAAGACAAACTGTGATATATAAAGATTTTTTTTTTTTTTTTTTAATTATCCATTTTTATTTTTGTTGCAGATGAATTGAAATTTACTACTGAAGACTTAAAAGAATAACCCTTATTTTTAAAGCAGAAAATCTGTTTAGATCCTTTTAGTGATTTGTTTTATTAGCAGAAAATATTAACAGCAATAATAACTAAATTTTCTTTGGGAATAGAGAAAGAGGGGGGGGAATCAAACTTAATACTTGTCTTATAAAAGAAAGCTGCTTTCTTTCCAATCTAACATTCATAAGTAAAATATGGGAAAGAGTTTTTTTTTGGAAGCAAGCACAAGTATTGGGGGAGGGGGAAAAAAAATTAAAAAAAATTGCTTTTCATACCAAATCGCCTCCCCATGCAGAGATAGAAACCGAAGAATGTATTACAAGCTATTTACTTTGAGAGAAGTTTTGGAAATTTAAAAAACAGAAAAATACCTTTGTAATTTACTATTTGATACTGGGTATCTCGTAATTTTTCTGAAAAAGAAACAGTAGTCAGCAAATTATTAAGTGGTTCATAATAATAAAAAACTTTTTGGGATTCAAAAGTGAAATATGCCAGGTAAGATAGCTAATCTAAGATGACTGCCTATCATCTCACAATACTAAAACTAATATAAAAGGAATTGAAGAGAGTTGAATTTTTCTTTCTTGCCTAACAAAATAGCTTTATTGATCAATATATCAATTGATATAATTTTCATCTACACCCAAGTATTAGCAAACCAAGCCCTAAAATGTTCTTAAAATGCTTACTACCCACTTCTATTTGGTCAAATAGGACAGACTATGGTTTTCAGCCTCTAAGATATAAAAAGATGCTTTTAGAACCAAAATCAAAGTTTTTGATATTTAAAAGTTTGGTATTAATCTCTGCAAAAAATTCATGTAAATTAAAATCTATTAATATTTGTCAAAAAAATATAAATGAAAAAAGTAAAAAAAATGATTCATGTCAGGTTTTTCCGAGATCAAATATTCTATTTTTGTAAATATTTTAATATGAAATACAATTGAAAAAAAAAAAAGAAAAAAAAAATGAAAAATGGTACTAATAAATAATGGCTTTTCATTTTTTTAAAAAAAACAATAACAAGACTAATAAATGTTGTTTATATAACCAAAAGGACTGGATTTTTGTCACCTTCACAAATCTTAGATTAGTTCCCCACCAACACCAAAATAAGGCAAAAATAGCCAATCTCTTAGCTGCCTATTGTCCCATTTTAAATGACAGCATTACTCATCTTCTGTAGAAATGAAAGAAATGCAAAAAATTTGTATACCTTGCCATTCCTCTGGTTCCTGGCCAAGTTTGGTGATAGGAATGATCTCCATCCGCCGTTCACCTGCAATGGAAAATAAGTTGATAAAATTATTTTGAAAGAAAAAAATATTGGGACTATTATGGATTACTCATACATGCACAGTTTTATATATATATATATATATATAAGCTGAATCTGAAATAGGCAAGTAATTTTATAAGTAAATAAATATAATTGCTTGAAAAAAAATAAATAAATAAAAAATTTAAAAAAATGAATATGCTTAAAATGTACTTTTAGTATTAACTTCTTAGCTATTTTATATAGCTACATGTATATTTGTTATCAGTTGACAATATTTTATTCCCAATTACATTCAGTTATATATGCACAATATATATTTTGGGAAAAAAATTAAAAATTTTAAAATAAAAGTTAAAAAATGATTGCTTTCTAATATGAACAAATGGCCTGGTAAAAACACATAGCATCTACAAGCAAGCAATGTGAATGCAATTTCTCAAATAGTGAACACTGACTGAAGGAAATAATCATTTTAGATCTGGTACAATGAAATATCTTCAAACATATAAACAGCAGGACAGTAAAATGAATTGAACTCTATTTTTTAACATGAATGTAATTAATATTTAAAATGTAATTAAAGATGCATTTTTTTTTTTTTAACTAAAACTTTACTCACTACAAGACCTGAAAGCCACACAAGGTAGAACATTACTGAGTGAGATTGTTGTAAGTACATAAGAGGATGAAGTAAGTACAGATTATGAGGATATAGAAGACAGCTAACAGTTGGCCCTCGACTTAAACAAGTTAAGATTTTAGTGTTAGGGGAAGTATCCTTTCAGGGGTTTGTTCCACAAAGTAGTGGAACTGAACTATTTATTTAATCTATTATGTGTGCGTGTGTGAGGCGGGGGGGGGTAGTTAAAAATTTTGTGATGGGTTACTGGAGTGAGAATCATCTGAAAAGGTGGAAGAGGGCACAATGGATGAAACATTGTGATAACAATAACAAAGATGAGGAAAATAGCTTGAACTAATAATAATAAACAAAATGATTGGCATAACTCTTACAATATTTTTCAGCACTTAAGAGAAAAATGCAATTTAAGAAAAGAAAAAAAAATGCAGTGTTTGACAATGCGCTAAATAATATTTTGATAGTATGTGTCTTCAAGTTATATTTTTAAAAATTTTCAAATATAAAAATATATAAATCTACAAAATTATACAACTTTGTACAAACGTTGTTTGTCTTGTAATGAAAAGTGGCTGTATTGGTAATGAACGCATCAAAATGAATAAAACTTCATTACATACTGTTGAAATATTGTTTAACATTGTCAAATACTTTTCTTTCTTTAAATTGTGCTCTTAAGTAGTGGTGATAATAACAACCTTCAGAGAATTTCAAACTTTTTATTACATGTTCACCTACTACAAGGCCCAAGAGCCATTCAATGCAGAGGGTTACTGAGTGAGTGTTGTATAGACATAAGAGGTTGGAGGTTGTTCATTTCAACTAAGCCCTACTTGTAAGGAAAATGTAACTAAGAACTGTGTGTATTCCATTCAGTTGTGGCAAGGAGCACAAGGGAGAAACCAGACATTCACTAAAATTAAGGATTGAAAAAATAATAAAAACAGCTGTAGTCATGGAATAATTGAGCATGGCTGATCATATATAAAGGATAAGAAAACTGAAATAACCAATACAAACTCATCAGTAGACCTAGCACAAACATAAATACCATCTACGATTAAGAGAGCAAGGACATTCAAAATCCCTCCCAGTTGAGGAAAGACTACATTTAAAGCTCCAAAATGACACCACCAGATGGGCCAATAGGGATAGGATGGTCCATGGCCTAGCGGATTAAAAGATTGGTGAAAATGGTTCCCTAGCTGTTGTGAGTTCAATGTTGTTGATCTGACAGTACTGAAGTCACATACTCTGGTTCAGTGGAAAAAACAGATAAGTCACACAAAAGCAAATATTGAATAATAAGAGATATCCCAAATATAAAAAGTGAAATCAGAAAAATCTAACACCATGAAGTGAATAAAGGGTTCACTTCAAAATTCCAAAAAGGTTATCAAGTACAACAGCAGAAATCTGAAAACATGGCAGCCAAAATATAAGCAGAACAACCAAGATGAGTAGTCTTGAATCGAAAGAAGGCGTGTGTGTGTGTGTGTGTGTAAATAAAAACACACAATTTCTATGTAAATTTTGTAGGTAGATTAGTTTTAATATCTTAATGTTGAAGATGTAAAAGACCTTACAGTTCATGTTACTTTTTAAATTGAATGATTAACAAAAAAAATCCATGAGAAATTAAAGCCTGGAGAAGTTGAAGTGGTATAGACTCTCCAGACATCAGAAATTAAAATGAAAAATAAATTTTAAATAGCTTATATTTGGTTCATTGGGCAAATTCAATTTGGCAGGAAGGGAGACAAGATTGCTGCTGCTTGGAACCACCCATTAAATTTGGGAAGAGAAAATAATTGAATTAGTTAACACTGAGCTTCCAGTTGGACTCGGTTATCAAGAAATTAGATAAAATTGGTGTGGCCATATGAAATCTTTGGTAAGATTTCAAGTGTGCTGTTAAGTTTTTTTGTGTTTTTTTTTCCAGTTTTGAAACTTGTGTCACAAGACCATGACAGTGTATCTTCTGAGAATTAAAATACATTTTAGAATGCTTATTCCAGGATCATACATGTGTTAATTGCTGGTTGTTTTGATTTAATATGAATAGCTTCTAAAATTTGTAATCTGTTTTACAAGTATTGTTGTGCTGTTCACAAGGAGATGTTTTTATATTATTGTAATTTTTGTTTTTGTATAGTATTTTTATACAGCATGTTATACTTTGAATATCATCTAATTTCTTTGATAACCAAAATGATTTGAAAACTGAACCATAACAAGAATCAACACTAAGAATGAACAGTTCCTATACACTTTCAACACCAACAGATGGAAACTAATTCAACAAAAAAAAAAAAAAAAACTTATGACCCCCGCCTTTTTTACATTTTTTTTTTTTTTAACTAAAAATTTTTGCTGCCTTGATACATTTGGTATAACTAACAATTGATTAGATCAAACCTTAATTTCAAATTAACAGTATATAAGGATATTAAGAATATGCAATGTTATTGGTCCTGACCTGGCATCTTCAGTCACTTCCCTACCACTGTAATATAATTTGTGAATTTTTATAAATATTTTTGTGGTAATTGTTCTGATGAGCTTTCCCCTTTGGTATCTAGACTTTATGAATTTAAGTGCAGTACCAGATTGGTGGCAAGGTCTCATCATTTTACAGTGGAAATGGTGATATATAACCATAAATTCTATGCTAACAGTTTCTTCTCTTGCACTTCTTGCTTGTAGAACTCTTATGACTCTTTGGTTTCCTGTCAACTTTGATCTTCAAAAATGTAAATGCATGGTCAATCGTTAACTTCTGTCTTTAATTCCCATTCTTTTGTTTTCTCTCCTTAATGTTTTTTTTCTTTTTCTCATATTCTCTAACACTCAGCAACCCTTAGTGCCTTAATTGCCTTGCTTGAGGTGAAAGGATTATAAAAAAAAAAAAAAAAAAAAAAAAAAAAAAAAAAAGATAGACAATTAAAACTCCTGTTTGAATAAAAGAAAAAGATATTTGTTAGAAATACCAATAGATACCTAGTTTGTTTTTGTCCAAGAGAATTGATATGTCATCTGAAAGAAAAAGGAAAGTCAAAATATTAAAAAAATAGAATCACAATACTGGAAGGCAGGGACCCAACAGCAAAATCATTGCATTCCACATATAAATACATGGATGGATGGATGGAAAGAAAGAGAGGAAAGCAGAAGGTGCTAATAAAGAGAATTAATTGACAAAAGGTATCAGCATTAGTAACAAGCAGGTCAATTCATCAATTTGATATGAAAATGTGGATGAGACAAACATTGACATGCAAAGTTTGAATGACTTGCCTTTGACTTCAGAATTTTAATATTGGATTTTAAAAAGTTTCATGGCTTTATTTTCCCAGTTAAGCTGAATTTTAAGCAGAACCTTATTTAAAATTTAATAATCAACAAATTCCTTCCAAAGATTTATGGGGGTAAATTAAAATTATGCTTCTTCCTTAGCATGTACATTAGGTCTTTCCCATACCTTATAAATAATGAACTATTCTGCTTTGATAGGAAAGGAAAGATGCTGTTTGGTTTCAATGAAAGAAAGAAAAAGATAGGAGGCGATAACACATTTAATATATGTTTCATTAAAATAGAAAAACTTGCCAATTTTAAATCTCTACATTTATACCCTCTTATTTCTTTAATGACTTGCATTCATACATATGACTTGTAATATTAAGCTCAAATATTTAATGATGCAAGAGAAAAAATTCCATGGGTATTTTGTATTTGTAGAACTTGCAATGTGCATATTTATCTATTAAATATTATATGCCAGAATTAAAATAGGAAAACTGAAATCTTCATGGGTATTATTAGTAATTATGTGGATAAATTTACTTAAATAATTTATTTTATCAAACTTTAGCTTTTCAGGCTTACATATTGTTATTTAAAATTTCCCAATATTTTCTATTTCTTTTAATAATCATTAATCCCAATGAAAAGAAATGGAACTATGTGTATTAGTAAATAAAAAAAAAAAAATATGCTATTAATAATTTTGAATCTTAATGAGCACTTATCCATTATTGGCAATTAGTTTAATCATAAGGTCAATAAATAACACAAATGTTTAAGTAATTTTACAATTGTATTGCTTATAGTTTTTGTACAAGTAATTTAGGATTATTTACATTATTCAGACTATTGTCCTCATCTTTGTTGCCATATTTATTACATTTCGGCCGTTGTATGCTCCGGCCTTCTTCAGATGGTTGAAGTGTCGAACTGAACCCTTTATTTTTTGCTCACTGGGTAGACTGTTTCTAGTTCCACATGCCATGTTTAATGGATGTCAGTTATCAGTTATCTCCTGTTAATTTTCCCTCTGAAAGTTCTCCACTGTCTTAACTGGGTATTGAACTCTCACTCTTTGGGTCCCGTCACTCAAGGACACATGGCACAGTGGATAAAGGTGTTGGTTAGATCCAGTGACAGGACCCAAAGAGTGTGAGTTCAATACCCGGTTAAGGCAGTGGAGAACTTTCAGAGGGAAATTAACAGGAGATAACTGATAACTGACATCCATTAAACATGGCACGTGGAACTAGAACAGTCTACCCTAGTGAGTGAAATAAAGGGTTCAGTTCGACATTCCAACCATCTGAAGAAAGCTGAGGACAATAGTCCAAATAATGTAAATGTACATAATACCTCATCTCAGAAATATAGACAGATACATAAGACATGTTTGTTTATTAGGATTTATTGGAATAACAACAGAAAATGATTTCAAACAGGGAAGACAGGAATGTACAAATAATATAAAATTATTTTGTTTAATATAATACAATAAATTATTTATGTTAGTGTTATAAAGATCACTGAAAAGTTAACATGTTCAAACCTGCAGGCTTCATTTAAATAAACTAAAGGAAAATTAAGATTCAAGCTTAAAGAGGTAGTATAAATTCATACTACTGGAATACCTCTAAATTAATAATTTCAAACTGTTTTGCATACAATTAATTAAGCCTATGACATACAGTGTCTTTGAAATATATTGTTTAAAAAAAATAAAAATAAAATAAAATTAAAAATTATAGCTACATTAAAAGTTATGTTTTTGTAAAAAATGACAGGTGAATTAACTTGAAAGGCAAAATGACAAACTAGATCAAACATGAGTACCAATACAGAAAAGCATTTTTATTATTTTAATACATAAAAGTTTAGAAAAGCTTACAATTGGAAAGAATTTACACTTTCCATATTAACCTTTTAGTGTCCATTGTTCAACTAGTGAAACATTTTAGGACATATTTAATACCAAATGAGCAATGTGTAAGCACAGATTTTATTTTTGTCTTTTTCTTGTATATTATCAATAAAATAATTAAAATTAATGCTTATCTCATTAGAAAAAGAAAGGTCTTAAATGGGTACTGAAAGGTTAAAGCAATTTTGTAGAAACTTGCACAATTCATAAGATCATTTAGAGTAAAAAAGGTAAAAACTTTAAAGAATATAATTAAAAGAGATATTTGTTGTAAAGCAGAAGCATCAATGTTATTCATAAAAAAAAAATTAAAAAAAAAAAAATAAATAAAAATCTTCCAGAAGCATCCAAGTCCCAATACAGCCAAAGCATCACAGCTGCAACAAGCAACCAAAATTGCCTAAATCTCACTTAATTCTATCGGCTTCTTTTCTTTAATAATTTTTTTTTTTAGGTTAGTGTCCCTTGTGGAGCTAAAAGAGTTTTGGTTGTGATGGAAGCACTATCAAAAAGTTTTGAGCAACACTTCCATGTAAGTATTTAACTATAATATAACATTTATTTTTTAGTAAAAATCTCAAATACAAATTTTGAGATATATATATATATATATATATGTGTGTGTATGTATAAAGTGAACATTGAAGTCAACACTCAGAGGCGACAGGCTGGACACAATTGTCAGGCATATATATATATATATATATATATATATAAATAAAGTACATATGAGAGAGTACTGAAAATTTCAATGACAGCTGCTTTCCAAAATCTGACCAAATATAACTTAGAATTCTTCATTCTTGGTTAAATCAAGGAATTTTGTGTGTGTGTGTATATATATATATATATATATATATATATATATATATGTGTGTGTGTGTGTATGTATGTCAAAGATAGTATAAAGCTAAAAATGCTGAGTCAATGAGATACTAAGAGAAAAGACATTTAAGGCAAGTAGTCTTTGTAATAAAGTACTCAATATCAAAAATAGAGTATTAATAGAATTAATTTAAGTAAAAGTTTGTCACTTAGTTGATTGATGTTACCTTATTTTAAACATTTCTAGTGGATACCTGTGTTATTGTTTCTATTTTAAACTGTGTATGTCTATTGGCCTGCACACTCAAGAAAAGGTGCTCTCTTGAGAGGTTCAAATCTGTATCCCCACTTTTTTTTTTTTTTTTTGAGAAATCACCATTTGATCCTGCATGCTCTAGACTACTCAGCTACAAACAATAATAGATTTTATTATGCAAGTCACTAGTTTTACAACTGATATTTTAGTTTCTATTTATCCTTATTAAAAATACTGATAATTTGTTTCAGTGAATTCTGATTTTATAAGGCAAACAAATTAAGCGCAACATAAATACTTATTTATAAATAATATCAGTCACTGGATATTCGAAAAAACCTTCATTAGTCTTTCATTTATTGATTTTAATCACTTTGCCTGCATCTTGAGTTTTTTTTGAAGTTTTTATTATTTCCCCCAAAATATTTGCATGAATATGGTTTTCCTTTCTCATATACATCTCTTAATGACAGGTAACTTTTCTATAATATCTAGAAAGGCTGGAGGCCCTTCAATTAATTTGAGGTCTTATTTTTTTTTTCTTTGGAGGTGGGGTAAGGCAGACAATAATCAACCTTGCAGAATTTGATCGTTACTCTTTAGGTCAAAAGTTGTGAATTGTGCCACTTAAAAAAAAAAAACTTACGATAGTCTACATTTGTGAAGAAGCTTCTAATTTCACTGCCTACAATACTAATACCAAAACATTACTCCACCTTCTCATCATTGTCTTCTAAGCTGTACTGGTTGACTATTTTCATGCCTGACCCAGCAACTAAAATTTACTATTGAGAATCTGTTTTCATGGACTTCTTTGTCCTACTTACATGTTACACTTTCTGATCATTAATGGTTACTTTCATGTTTTTAATATTCTGCAACTAATCTATTTTCATTCATAACACCAGCTCCTTCATATTTTCTTGTCCCCTTTTTTTATTACTCTGTGAATTTCTTGAAATAAGATGTTTTCTTGTTCTTGCCCAGGTTTACAATTACTTCATTAATTTTTCTAGTATTTTGTCCAATTTTATTTGCAATTTTCTGCACTGTGTTCCCATCACTCAACTTTACAATATTCTGCTTTTGCAGTTATATCCTCTTTTATGACAATGACAATATTTATATATCTTAAATTAAAAAATACATATCAATAATTATACTATTCAATATATTCATTTACAATATGATGAATAACCCTTGAGTTGTAGAATAGAATATCACACCCGCAAAAAATTACTGTAAATATATTTAACAAAAACACACAAAAAAAAAAAAAAAAAAAAAAAAAAATCACATATTTATATCAATCTATCCTGAAAATCTTACCAACATTGGTTGGTTGATGCCAATTTCACCATAAACACATTGACTTGCAGAAAAAAAATATCCAACAGTGTATATGACAAGCAAGTCATGTTTCATAGTGGAAAAAGAAATCTCTTACAAATTGGCTTTTAACTGTTGCTCAAGCCAGTAAGTTAGCAAATTCATAGCCTGAGGAGTAGAGGTCTTCAATAAAATTACATAAATAGCACTTACTGACAAATCAATATCAGTTATGGTGATCAAATGCTAAGTGTTATTCATTCACCAGCTGTGGATAAATAGGGATTTATCCCTTTTTCTTTTTTTTTCACAGAGATATTTTAGGCAGCGTCAACTATCCATCAGTACAGATCACTTTCAAAGTTTTAAATAGAAGAGATAGATGATAAACAGCTCATC